AGCTGGTTATTTATTCGGCAGAGATCCTTAAAAACGGATATAAGCTGAGCAAGAAAAACAGCAAGGAAATTGCTTGCATGCCTGTTTTTGCATCGAAGCTTGAGAACATTTTCAGATAAAAGAAGTGCAGTCTATGCTATCAAAAGAAGTGGTTAGTTAGCAGTTTTTCGATAGCTCTATGAGCGAAGCATGAACACTCACGCAAAGCAAGTTCTACAAGCGGAAAACGTTAATTGAATCAGCAAAAAGTTTTCTCCATCAGTCTGCCAGAGGCGGCAGAGCAGAATGCGGTGCTTGTCAATGTCAGTAAGCGAATGTGAGAATAATGCAGACGTCAGAATCATTCGACAGAGCGGCGGAAAACGAAACAACGGACTGATCCGTGCAGGACGAACACTTACGTTAAGCTTGCTGAACGTGTCGACGAGTTCTCCTTTGTCGGATGTCGCGGAGACGGCCGAGGCCGAGCTGCCACGCTTGCCGCCGGCTACGTACGAGGAGAACGTCGACGAACGCACGCTGCCTCCATGATGCGGCTGAAATCACGGAACGACACGCCTCACAACGCAACGAACTTGAAGCTTTGCTTATGTAAGGAGGTGAATCGAAAACGAGAAACGACTCAGCTGTTCATGGGGGCGCTAGGGTGAGCGAAAACAAAATCTGCTGTGGTTACGCTCTATGTGAGAGAAACGCAGGTTTTTCACAAAATCGCCAACCACGCACATGCAAGATTTCTCCGCCTCCTTGGCCAGGTCTCTAGCGGGAGGTAAGAGTGTTAGCTAGAGAACTCGCCAACGATCCGGACATTCTTGAACGTCTACATCAATAGGCCCAAAGTTGACTAGAACTCTGCGACATGGCACGCGCTGACGTCAACAAGAAGGACGATCTGCATGCTAATGGTTGAAGATGTTGTGAGACACCTCTCATTCTAAAGGGCTACTAAAAGGAGCAATTCTTTCGGTACTTCGGCGCATCAGTGGAGAGGTAAAATGCCCGCAGAGGCATATAGCGAAAGTCTCAAAGAGAAGCTTGTTTTCAAGAAGATGTTACATTTAAGAATTGATTTTATGAACATTAAAAGTTTTTAAGACTGGCTTCACTATTACTTTGTATGCCTGAAATCTCAGGAGCAGTATGAC